AGAAAAAAAATATAACTCCTTTATATTTTGTTATTGGGTCATACCATACTCTTGGGCATCAAAATGTTTTCTGTTGGAGAGAAGTTGAGCAGAATAATTATAGCATAATAAATAAATCAGGGCTCAATGATTTGTATGTGTTATGAGTTGTTCACAGTCAAGAATAAAGTACATTCCAGCTCATGAAATATTCCAAGAAGCTGATTAATGGGTAAGCTACTTATTACATTTTTGGGCTCTTATTTAAAAGTTTAAGGAAATTATTTATTTTAAAGTTAATGATACAGAGTTAAACATAATGAAGGTTTTTATGCAATACAAATTTACCACCTACAAGCATGTTATGTTGATAATTTTAATTCTACAATTGCATATATTTTCCCAGAGGACTGTGGCTTTATTCAATGCCTACAATAGCTGATATTCACTTAATCAATATTTTAACATTTTGTGCACACATTGACGAATGTGTGCAAGAAACTTAATGCCAGCTAGCTAATATCAGTAGCGAAGACAATTTTATTGACTTTTATGAGCATTTCAAATTTATGCTATTTGTACCAGAAAACATTAACAAATGTGCTTTAGGACAAGATGGAACTGTCCTTTAAGTAGAGCCCCAAGAAGCATAATGTGAGATCGAGCTCTCCTAAATTTTGAGGCTAGTCTCATCCATCTAAACTTGGGCATTTAATGCCAGTTTGGGATCCCAGAGTTATCTGAGAAAAACAGATATGACACAAGAACTCAGAACTTTCTGGGGAGTCACCTGAAGATCAACCCTCTGTCTTCAAGGCATCCAGAAGGTAAAGGATGCTGTGTGGCAGTAACTGACTGAACTGACCTTGGCTGCATACAGGGCCTGTGCAGAAGCTTATGCTTTTGTCACAGTGGAGACTTAATCACGATGGTCAAGCAGGCATTTCACCTCGCCCTAAATTAGGCATCAGCATTTGGTCAGAAAAACCATTAAATTCTCTTAACCATAAGTGATATTCATTAACTATAATGGAAGCTTAGACTAAACACTTGCAAGTGTACATCCACTTAGCTTGCAGATATAAAATTAAGATAAATTAACTGTAGGTAAAAGTTACTCAAATATGTCCACTAATCTTTAAAACCTCAATTTTTCACCATTCCACTTAGTATCATATGTAAATGATGGCTCCCACTGTCTTCATCTGCAGCTGAGTAAGCAGACACCAAATCCAAGAGTCTGAGGATCTTAAAGGCTAGAGCTAGGCATACAGAATGGTTAAATAGCCCCACATTATATAAATGGTTAAGCTACTATCACATGGGATTTCTCTGGCACAGGCAGAAATCAACTCCACTTCCAGTACTAGTTTACCTATATTGGGACCATTTCATTTTTATTGAAATCTATTTTCTCGGCTTATCTAGCCTCTGAAAAAATGAGAACTATTGAAAAACATTTCTACACTACACAGTTTTTCCCTCTTGCCCTGCGGAGGGGAAATTAATACTTTTTATAAAGAAAAGATTGGGTAATGAGTACAGAGGACAGAAATTGAGAGGAACAGAGACAATACAGAGATGAAACCACACTTCTTTAAAATAAGCATTTCGGAGTATCAGAGGCTTTATACTGGGATCTGGCTCATCATTTATTTTCTTTGGAATTGGCAGCAATGATAACATCTAAAGTACAAAATTCCTCTTCTCTGTTCTTATGACTAATGTATTTGGCAATGTGCTAGCCATTAACTAACTAATGACTAATGCAATCTCTTGCTTACTTGCCTATCTGATTTCTAGTTCACAGTATAGTTAAAATGCATCTTTCTCATTCAAAGTCCATGCTACTGTTTGTATTTGTCTTCCTCTTGTGCTCTATCAGTTACTTATCACTTTTTTTCTTTTTGTTTTCACCTGTGTGTCTCAAACTCTTCACAATGTTTTTGTTCTCATTTCTTGTGACTTCTTCTGCACTACACAGTAGAATGTCTTCCTTTTCCTTTCTGCCTTCTTCATGGATAATCCCTGCAAATCTAAGCATCATTCAGCCTCCTTCCATTTTTTTTTTGAAATCAACATTTTAGCACATAAGTTCTCTACAGTGCATGTTCTTTTACATTGTGTATTATTTATACTTATTTGTAATTAACCATGTGAATCTCTAAACAAAGAAAACTTTACAGTTTTTATATTACTTTAGATACAAGTTACTGTAGCATTTAATTTACTCAAATCTTTAAATGTTTTTAAATGAAAACACTGGAATGAAATCTGTCTCCTGACAGAAGGTTGGTCTTGTGATGCAGACCAGCTAAAACAATGAATACTGTTGTATTTCTATAAATTTACACTTCATATACTTTCTATAAATGTATGTGATACAGAACATAAAAGCTGACACTTCTATTTCATCTTATAATTACACAGATTGTAACATATCAGCATCAATATAAAACTACAATCCTACTGCTACTGCCCCCTCTGAAGAGCTATTAGATCTATTTGTAATTTAATCTTGCACTATTTTCTTAATTTTTTTTGCAATGGATGTCCAGACGGGACCCTGGGTACAATGATGCTTTGTTCATAAAATCAGGCCTCAGTCTGCTTAAGACAGAAAACGATAGTACTACAGTCAGCTGGCAATACAGGACAGCTCTTTTGGTTCTTCGCCATTCTTTTATGAAACAACAAATTAGCCTAGAACTAGAAAACTTTACAATAAAGTCTGTCAATACCAGAGTTTTAAAGTAAAGTGATGGACTCCACAGTGGAGCTGAACAAAGTAAAATCACTCACAATTTAACATAGTTTGCTTGACTTCGTAATGGAAGAAAGAGGTCCCAAGAAGGGATTTAGGAAAATTCTTAGGCCTGGAAAGTGGTTTAGGAGGCTACTGCTCACTACTACTCACTATTTATCAGTGCATCTCAGCTCTCTTTTCTCACCAGTACTGTTCTTGCATATCAGTGCATAGGGGAGTTCAAGAAAGTCAGCTCTTACAAATATTGGCTTCCAAGACAACAGTTAAAAAGCCTTATCGAATCACATTAATAAATGAACAAATGAATGTGAATATAAAGCTGTGGCCTGAGTCAAACATATAGTGATGACATTTTAAATAAGAACGTTTTTTACGTATTTGAAAATACTCCTTATATTGATACAACAGTCTGTATTTTCAATCGATTTTACAAAAATCATAAAAGAAAATCTGCTACTGATGGATGTAGACAACTAGTCTAGTTGTAGACTGTAGATAGTTGTAGACTTTCATACAAAGGAGTCTATTTTTGCAAACTGTTCAACATTTTTTGCCAATATTTTGCTGAAACATATGAACATTTTTACACAGTGCATGACAATTTTAACACCTACGTTTTTGATTAATAAGTAGCTAAATTTTGGAAAGCTGTTCACATTACAGAATTCAACTGCATTTAGTGTTACGATAGTTACTATGGGGTTTTTTTGCACATAAAATACTTCATCCAGGCTTAAATACAATTTTTTCTTCTTCTCAACTTGACAGACGGTTAAAAAGAAATTGTCCCAATTTGCTGGTAATGCACTTTCTGAAATGTCTGTGAATAGTGAAAATATTCTTAGAAGGTCTATATTATATAATATAAGTAAGTAATTAGAAATTAGAACACAGAAGATGTGGCAGGCTAGTTTGGTACTCGAAGAAGACAACTGAAACAAGGGTGGCACTACTGAGCACTCCGATTTAAAAAATACGAAAAAATGCCTTTTGAGAAGAAGAAAACTGCAGTATCAGTGTAAAATGGACTGATGACTGGCACATTCTCCTGGGTAGTGCAGTAATACGTGGGTGCACTCAAGTTCATGTTGGTGTAATATCAGCAACAGGCAGATCTGTGGCATGAACAGAGGTGGATAAGATGTGGAAAAGAAAGGGACAGGCATTCATAAAGGGATTGCCAGGCCTTAGAAACTATGAACTGTACTGTGTCCAGTACTGGGCTCCACAGTACAAGAGGGATGTGGAGCTGCTGGAGAGAGTCCAGCGCAGGGCTACAAGGATGATCAGGGGCCTGGAACATCTGCCCTATGAGGAGAGGCTGAGGGAGCTGGGCCTGTTCAGCCTGGAGAAGAGACGGCTGAGAGGGGACCTGATCAGTGTCTATAAGTACCTCAAGGGAGGCAGTGAGGAGGAGGGTGCTGGCCTCTTTTC